CATCAATCTGCAGCGTGACACCACTTTGGTTCAATCTGGTGGCCAGGGTGGTTCCGAAGTTCATGCTGTTCAGCACCAAAGAAAATCTTCGAGATCGACGACCTCGAGTCTTTCGAACGCCAGCGCTGTTTCTGTCTCTAATCACTCTAAACCGGCTCAGAAGAAGCCCCCCTCTCCATGCTGGCACTGTGGAGCCTGGCATTATGTGCAGTTTTGTCCATTCAAACAGAATGTGTGCGATCGCTGTCAGAAAGTTGGTCACAAAAGCGGCTTTTGCAAATCCAACCGATCCAATAACCGTCGAAATGCACAGACGCAGCTTCGTTTTCACAAAAAGCCGATTACCTCATCAAGGAGTTTAGCAGCAGTCTTCCATACTCATGCCGCGACTCGACGCAAATTTCTGACCCTCTCAATCAATGGTCAGCCAGTTCGTTTGCAGTTGGACACTGCATCGGATATCACCATTCTGTCGAAAAAGACTTGGCGAACCTTGGGTCAACCTCCCATCAAACCATCCTCTCAGACAGCCGTCAGTGCCTGTGGGGGTCATCTCCGCCTTCATGGTGAACTCTGTTGCTGCATTTCATTCAGAGGTACAACCTTCGATGGGACATGCTACATCACCAATTCCCCGCTCAATCTTTTAGGTTTAGATTGGTTCGAAGAACTTGGTCTCGCTGATCTTCCTATCAACGCTATCTGCAATCAAGTCCAAACTACTGCCTCGACACAACAGCATGCTGAAGACATTCGAAAACGATTTATTGAACTATTTCAGCCTGGTCTCGGACTTTGTACCACAACTGAAGCTGTTTTAAGACTGCAGCCAGAAGCTACGCCAGTTTTTCGCCCAAAGCGTCCAGTCCCATACGCATCTTTACCTCTGGTTGACGCTGAACTTCAACGTTTAGAAACTGAGGGTGTTCTGGTACCTGTTTCTTATTCATCTTGGGCTGCACCAATTGTGGTTGTAAAAAAATCTAATGGTTCCATACGCATCTGTGCAGACTTTTCCACAGGACTCAACGCGGCTCTACAACAGCATCACTATCCGCTGCCGATCCCAGATGACTTATTTACTATTTTAAATGGTGGTACCTATTTTGCTAAGCTGGATCTGGCAGATGCTTACCTTCAAATTCCAGTCGCTCTACAATCCAGAGTGTTGTTGACAATCAACACTCACCGAGGACTTTTTCAGTATACCCGGTTACCCTTTGGTATCAAAACTGCTCCAGCGATCTTCCAGCAGATCATGGACACTATTCTAGCAGATGTTCCTGGTGTTGCTACGTACCTTGACGATGTCCTCATTGTCGGCTCAACTGCTGATGAATTGAATACCAGAACCCACTTAGTTCTGCAACGCCTCCAGGATAATGGTTTTCGCCTTCGCCCAGAAAAATGCCATTACTTCTTACGTTTCGTTAAGTACCTGGGGTTTATTTTTGATGCTTCCGGACGACATCCTGATCCTCAAAATACTTACGCAATCCAACAAATGCCTGCTCCCACTGATGTCTCCTCACTGCGATCATTTTTGGGAATGATTAGCTACTATTCAGCATTTCTTCCATCACTGCATGACGTACGATATCCACTGAATCGTCTGCTAGAAAAGAATGCTACTTGGAATTGGTCAACGCAATGTGAGTCAGCCTTTTCAAAACTTAAAGCCATGCTAAGTTCCAATCTCCTGCTAACCCACTACAATCCGAAACTACCCATTGTGGTTGCTGCTGACGTTTCAACACATGGACTGGGTGCCGTACTTTCACATGTCTTTCCCGATGGGTCAGAGAAAGCGGTGATGCATGCTTTGAGAACACTAACACCTGCTGAAAAACGCTACGGTCAGATAGAGAAGGAAGCGTTAGCCCTAATTTTTGCTGTCCGGCGATTCCACAAATTCATTTACGGACGCCGTTTCACCTTGCTCACAGACCACAAGCCCTTGTTATCAATCTTTGGATCAAAGAAAGGCATTCCTGCCCATTCTGCTAATCGTCTTCAACGTTGGGCGTTGGCGTTATTGGGGTACGACTTCGACATCCAGTATCGACGTTCCGAAGATTTTGGTCAAGCGGATGCACTGTCCAGACTTATCAGTAACCATTCTACTACTGATGAGGACACACTCATAGCCATAGTATCAACCGAAGAGGATTCCGGTGCTACTGTATTAGCGAATGCCATTCGAGCAATGCCTGTTACCGCTGAAGATGTTCGGGAAGCTACCAGAGAGGACCCGATTATCCAAAAAGCGATCACCTATGTTCAGAGTAGATGGCCAGTTAAGCAGCTGAGTGGTGATATGCAACAGCTAGCGAATCGTCGCAGTGCGCTCTGTATTGTTAACGATTGTCTGATGTTCGGTGATCGCGTAGTAATTCCAACAACCCTACGTTCCAAGATCCTACACCAATTCCACTCTGGACACCCAGGGATAAACCGTATGAAATCCATCGCTCGCATTTATGCATATTGGCCGAATATGGACAAGCAGATTGTCGACTTCGTCAAAAGATGCTCGCATTGTCAAAGAGCTGCGAAAAATCCTCCTAAGTTGCCTCCAGTACCCTGGCCAAAGTCGGAAAAACCCTGGTCGCGAGTGCATATTGACTTCATCGGACCCCTAGATGGTACCACATATCTGATACTGGTTGACTCCTACTCCAAATGGCCGGAGATATTGCCAATTGCGCCACCCTCTACAACTCGAACCATCAAACTCCTTAATCGGATCTTCGCTCAGCATGGTCTTCCAGAAACAATAGTAACAGACAATGGTTCACAATTCACATCTAGCCAATTCCGAGAATTTTGCCTGCAAAATTCGATCAACCATGTCCGTTCTCCGCCATATCACGCGCAATCTAATGGACAAGCTGAAAGGTTCGTTGATACGTTTAAGCGAGCTATGCTTAAATCACGAGGGGAGGGGACCACAGAAGATATCATAGAACGATTCCCAGTTGCGTACCGGACGACCCCGCATGACTTATTGCCAAACTCCAAATCCCCTGCTGAGATGCTTATGGGGCGAAAGCTACGGACAGTTCATTGTGCGATGAAACCTAAGCAAGTGGCTCAACAAAACCCCCAGATGAAGAATACTCGAATTCCTTACGAAGTTGGTACAAAAGTGTATGCACGAGACTTTAGACACGGATGTGATAGATGGGTAGAGGGTGAAATCACAAAGAAACATGGGGACGTCATGTATGATGTCAAAGTGAACCAAGAAATCTGGACCAGGCACCACAATCAAGTCAGGCTAAGGGAAGCGAAGGAGAAAGAAGCAATTACAAAAAGCGTTCCACTCGACTTGCTGTTGGACACGTTTCAACTTCCGCCAATACCTCCAACAGAGACGACTAAGTCATCTACTCAAGTAGAACATCCTTCTGGTTCTGTGTGCTTGCCTCGGAGGTCGGATCGCAAAAGAAGACACCCAAAGAAACTTCAAGTAAATCCTCGATTACGTTGCTATTAACTTTTCCAAGGGGAGGTGTTGGGATATTCAGAAAAATATCCCAAAAACAATTATCCGGTTAAGTCTAATGCTACCCTTGAACGTTAATGGTGTCATTTCCCTATTGGTCGTTTCCCTACTAATCAATATTTATTTCGCGTGTCATTTCCCCATTGGTCAATATTATTTCACGTGTTATCTTTCTGTTGGTCAATATTTATAGTAATCCTAACTGTATAAATATGCATTTGTTTGTAAATCATTATTCGGCTCCTGACCCCATAAACAATTTTTCATCTACGGTTCGTGTTCTGATATATTGGAGATTGGGAACAGTATTGGGGTCGAACTGGGATATCTGAAGCTGGTCAATCGGTAGAAGTTAGAGTAGCCACCTCGCGATACACAATATCAACAAACTGATATTAAAAATCAATCTGGGAGATCGAGTGCAAAATAGAAGAAGTGACTGGGAGAGGAAATGTTCCACTTACAAAATATGTTAGTTTACTTATTTATTTGAACACATAAATATTGGTAAAAATGGGCACCGAATACATATGCACCACACAAGTCACGGGTTCCCAGACTGGAGCAGGTGGTTTTCGTAGGGAGCCACACTCAGAGCTTTCAACCTAAAGGTCTGATCCACAGACAGTAGAGCAACGTAAGGACATGCAGTCCCATGTAGCCGGTGACCAAAATTGGTTCATACGCCAATTGTTCCTTCAGGATACTGGAGCCCATGTGCACCATTAGTCTGGAATCAGGGTTTTCAAACACCCTTAATTGGACCATTTGTATCCAACACCCCGTCCGCAAGAAGGCAGTTAATAGGAATTCTGTGGCAGTGGCTGTATACACTTGGCCATGTGAGAGCATTTCAAGAGGTAGAATGAACTCTCCCCACCATCGGCCATACCAGGGCATTTTGGGGTACAGAATATGAGATGACATCACATCAACTGTTTCAACTGTCAATCCTTCAAAGTTACACACTAACCGAATTAATCACCAAAACTTTTCGAATTATTTTCTACATCTTCGTCAAATTGAAATAACACATTCACTGCAACATACATAATAGACTATCACCTAATTGAAATCTTATTTCTCTGATAACTTGAATCAATGTTTAGCACAATTCGTCAGTAATTCCTTTTAACTAAATACAAGTTAACGGCAAAATTTTCTTTCATGTTATCTTATTTAACTAGAAAATTCGATATTATACTGTTATTTGGCACGATTCAATAATATTTATTAAATAACGGCACAAGTTCTGTTGATTATGCCTTATCTTCGTATATTTATACTTATTAATGACAGAGCACCGATTTTTTATTTTTGTTTTCTAGGTCATACTATAGCTAAACCATCAGTCAACATTCTTTAATAAATCTTTATTATTATTATTATTATTCACTAATAACTGCCTCAATACCTTTAACGGTTATCTTCAGACAATGTTTATTGTTCATCAGTGGCCTAATACTATGCATATTATTTTAAAAATAAAAGATCAAATGTACTTTTTATTTAGAACTTTAGTTACGATACCAAATAAATTCTTTACAAAAGAATTTAATAGAAAAACAAATATGATTGAGTTTGTCTATTATTTATATGCTAATTTTTTTTACTCTTTCTTTTTGTCAATGGTAAATTATCTCTTATTTTACAACAAGAAACTTATTTTATTATAGAAAGATATTTAGTAAATGTTGTTGTTGACTTTTGCAAGTAGTTATCTCTTGTAATAGAGATACAACCAAAATAACAACTGGATGCGCACTGCTGAGGAGTCCCATACTAAGACGAAATGGCCGTCCAGTGCTTCCAAGTTTTCCATGGTGCTCTAGCTTCAACTGACTCATGATTTCAATCTGTGAAAATTTCTAAAATCTCCACAAACCCCTTCTGATACAAATAATTTATATTCTAAAATTACCTTTCCCAAAAGACTATTAAAAGTCAGACAGCATAGAACAATTGTTTTTGTCTGTAGTGCATATTCCATATAAGTTCATATTGGTACGAATCAGTTGTTTATTGCATCGTTTTCAGTGATTTTCTAAATGAAGTTCGTCCACGATGAAAACTATAAATTTAAATCCTTTTTCAAAATAATAATAATTTACTCATTAAACTCCAACGTGAGATGGTGGAAAAGATTTGTAGCTCAGGTAGATGATTTTGATGGAGTTTTGTACTCTGAGCTGGATGGTTTGGTCTTGGAGCTTTCATCGTTCCTCTAGACGACATCATCAACACAAACTTCAGATATAAGTGAAGTGAACATCATCATACAACCTGTCAAAAGAAATTTCACGAATACTGAAACATTTAGTATATCCATCCAACCACTACATCAAATCCCCCACACAATTCATGGACCAAATTAAGAACATTCTAATCAACAACGATGAACTGATTATATCCTTCGATGTGACAGCGTTATTCACCACAATTGAACCAAGGTTAGCAAAAGAAACTATATCCATGCTACTCATCAACGACACAAGTCTCACTAAGTACACGAAGCTTCAAATTCAAAGTCTACTGGAACACATCGATTTATGCTTAACAACATATTTTCAATTCAACAACAAAATCTACGAACAAACGAAAGGGGCACCAGTGAGATCATCAATATCAGGACTGATCACAGTAGCAGTGGTGCAAAGACTAGAAGCCGCGATATTACCAGTAATCAAGCCAAAAATCGGATTCGCTATGTAGACGACACATTCGTCATCGTCAAAAAGGATAAGTTGGAAAACACCTACAGGCTGATCAACAACGTCTTCGATGACATCAAGTTCACAACGGAACATGAGTCAAACGACAAACTATCATTCTTGGATGTATTAATCACCAGAACCCACAAACGTTAACTGGAGACTGAAGCGTATAGGAAGCCGACCCATACAGATCGAATTCTCAACTACAATAGCAACAACCCAAGAGCTCACAAAATCAACTGCGTACAAACTGTTCAAGAGGGCGAGGACACGGTGCAACACACAGCGCGGAAAAATGAAGAAAAATACTTGAAGACTATTTTTCCAAGAACGGCTACCCAATGAACATTATCAAAAAATACCGACAGCATGCAGCATCAGAACCTAAGTCAAGTACAGAAATCAACAAAAGCATCACCTTACCATACATATCGGCCACATCAGAAACCAGGACTAGACTGCTGAAAACCTTCGGAATAGGAGTAGCACACAAACCGACAAAATCAATACAATCAATCCTATGCAAACTAAAGGATGAAATAACAAAGGAAGACAGATCAAACATCATCTACAAAATAAATTGTGCCAACTGCGAAAAACACTACATCGGACAAAGCGGACACCCGCTTCACTTTTGCCTACATGAACATCAATTAGCAGTCAAACGCAGTGATATCTCCTCACTTATATAAATACACGTGAACAACTGCGGACACATTCGATTGGAAAAATGTGAAAATCTTGGACAGAGAAAATTCCCAAAACACCAGAGAATTTTTAGAAGCCTGGCACTCAAGTCAATCAGCAATCAACAAGCACGTTGAAATCGATCCAATTCACAAGCAATCAGGAAAGTTATACACAAACATAGGGATAAAATTCAAACAAATGGGAGTAAACAATGACAAGTTTAAAATCAACAAGAACCAATCAACATCTAGGTGTACGGACAAGCTGTGAAACACTTGTGGAGAAATTCGAACACTTCACTTCTATCTAAAGTTTGTGTTGATGATGTCGTTCAGAAGAACGATGAAAGCTCCACGACCGAACCATCCAGCTCAGAGAACAAAACTCCATCAAAAAAGACGCCAACGTTTTACAGAGAAACTGTTATTGGTAAGTCGCGGCACAAAAAGCAAGTTTATCCTTGGTACCTATTCTTAAGAGGTGCATACTGGAGAAAACAATTTGAGTCTCTGGTGTACTGATTTTATTGGTCACACAAATGTAAACTACACATATGCACACAGTATTCCAAGTTAGCATTTGCCGCGTGATGCAGTTTGATGGTTTCCACAATGTATGTCCTATCCACTTCCACCTTCTTCTAAACTCATCTTCAAGTGGAAGATGGTCATTCGGTCAGCTACAAGGAAAGGTCAGACATATATAAGTGTCGCTACAAGTTGACACACTTTACTCATCAGCACAACAAGATGAACACAGGAAGAAAGAATTAGTGCGTAGAAATAAAGCGATTTCGATCTCACGATTTAAGGGTAGACAAAGAGTGTATACACCTACGCCATTGTGATCGATTCTAAGCCATGTCACACATAGTCACCAACCATTGATTACGATAGTTGCGTGGACCTCAACCAATTAGACTGCATATATCAGCATGGTTCAGACCAGAAGTAAGTGACTTTGTGAACTGATACAGCGTTTTGGTTTGGCCGCCCCTAACTTTCTTCCAACTGCCTCTAATACTAGTCAGCATTTCACGTCATGGTAATCGGTGGTCGGACATGCGTAATACGTGGCCGAATAATCTCAGTCGATAAAGATTCACAGCTTCATCAAGTGATTTACCATCATTCCCTAAATTCAACGCCTATGGGTAATCTTGATGTGGCTTTACTGAGTCCAGTGAGGTGCAAGTAAATGAGCGCTCGTATTAGAGCATGATCAGAGTCTAAACATGTATTCCAGAACACGCGGGAGTATTCTATCGAGCTTCTCCAACGGTAACTGTTAGAATATAGTTTATTGAAGTCTATCGTCTGCTTGGTGCAGCGGGTCGCCATGTTAGACGATGTCTCTCCTTAAACCTTAAACTACTGCTTGTTAGAAATAAACGGTTGTCTGAGCACAGCAGACCATCACCAATATCTGTTCGTTGACTCGGAGTACCCAAATGTCTTTCCGTTTGGTTTAAGCAATCTACTTGGGCATTAGAGTCACCTGCTATGATTACTATGTCTAAGTGTGTAGCTTTTTGAAAAACTTCGGGAAGCTTTCCTTAAAACTCCTCTTTCACCTCATACGAACTGAAGTCTTCATATTGTTATTTGTTGTTGAGCAGTCCCCTCAAAGGGTATGGGTTCGAATCCTACTCCTGGCACTACACTTAACCCCAAATGCCCTGGTATGGCTGAGAGTATGGTGGACCTGTCCTCACCCTTGAAATGCTCTCACACGGCCACGCGTATACAGCCTCCGCCAGGGAAGTCCTACTCACTGCCTTCTCGTGGTAGGGGGTGATGTTTACGAAAATGAGAGGACGAAAAGCGAATGTCCGGCGCTTTAACCGGATTCCAAATCAATGTTGCACATGGGCTCCAGTATCCTGAAGGAACGAATCAATCGTTGGCCAACGGTTACCATGGGACTGAATTTCCTCACGATGCTCCACTGCCTTGTGGGTCAGACCTTTAGGTCAAAGGGTCGGAGTGTGGCCCCTAAGAAAACCACCTGCTTCGGTCTGGGCACCCGGGCAGTATCAAAGCCCACACACAAATATGATGAAATGTCGATATTTATGGAAAATATTGCTTGTTTCGATCAACAATCAAACGATTCACATTATTATTATTATTGTTATCATTATTATTATTACTTTTTACGTCATTTAATCACTCTCTTTTATACCCACTTTATGTATCCTTATTTTTCGACTTATACAGCAGCTCGCCTATGATGGAAACCCGGTTCTATCTAAACGTTCTCGAGTCACTGCCTGGTTGAAAATTGTATACTACTACCATATACGAATACTGAAGCAGTTTTTTCTGAAACCACGTGCACCATTCAAACTGGCTGCCTTCAACGTTCGCACACTCATGAAGATCGGATGACAGATAGGGCTGGCTTTGTCCTTAGAAAGTCTTAACATCGATGTCTGCTGTCTATCCGAGACCCGTATTCAAGACTCTGGTGAAGTACTACAAATTCGCTCTACATCTGTCGCTTCGAAAAGCTTGTTTTACGTGCGCTTATCCGGGCACCCTGTGGCATCTTCGTCTGGTCTTGCTGGCGTTGATGTCGCACTAAGCGTTAGAGCTGAGGCAACACTAATCGACTGGATCCCCATTAACAGTCGGTTATGTGCTGTTAGATTAGAAAGTTCCATCAAAGTGAGAAGAAATCGGCGTGGTAAACGATGTTTTTTCGTCAGCAGCCGAATCTGGTAACTACTGGAAGTCCTCCAACTCACCCGAGCCACTGGCAGCAACAAGTTTGGTGTACGCGAAACAATCTGTGAGGATGACGGGATGTCAATCACTAACATCCATCGACGTCTTGGACGATGGTCAGAATTCTTCGAAGGGCAGTTCAGCTGGCCTGATGCTCCGGCAACATCGGTCAGACTGTCCTGCCTAAATTAGATAGCAAGGTTGCCCTAAGTACTGAGCAGTGCTACGAGGAGACTTCGAGTCGGAATTCGTTTTTAAAGGAGCAATATATAATACACATAATAATATTACCTTGACATGATCACCTTGGTTGAAGAACTTTCTTAATTCCACTGGTGTAAACGGTATGGGTTCTCGTAGGTCAGAATGATTCGGCTGAACAATAATTCTGTTATTGCCTTCAATGGAGACAACTTTTCCACGAAGATTCTTAAGATCACCTTCACATACTTCGACAACATCTCCAGGAGTGAAACAATGGTTTGAAGCAATCTCAACATTAACAGCTGAAGTCAAATTAGCTGCTGCATTAGCAGCGGCGGCAGCTATTTGTAGACTATCAGGAGTATGATGAAATCTTTCAAGTTCAGCTAGTGTAGGCCGAATGCCTTCAGTAAACTGAAACAAGAACGATTTATTTTGTAGTCTTTTAATTATTAAGTATAAATATTTTATTTAACTTCATCATTTTCGTATACTTACAAAAAAATTTGATCACTTCGGCTAAACGACTAAAATAGAACTGCTCATTTCTAAGCAGAGATGGATGGTTGCTATCAGTGGAATCTAGGACGCACGTCTCGTCCCATTTTGGACTCGTCAGCTGGATGCCCCTGTATATTTCTAAGTTGACAATTGGCATTATTATCGATTTCAATTCTTAACGGAAGATTATGAATGTCAAAAGATAATTTATTTTCATGACTTTGATAATTTTGATGGTTCCTCTGAATACGCTTGAATCTATCCGTGATAGAAATGTTGTAACTGGCTAATTTCATTTTCTGAGATCCAGATAAATATAATTTTATATATTGGTGTTATGCATCGGTTTTGCCAAAACAGACTATTTTCTAACATACTAGTACATTATCTTGTATGATAAACAAAGTTAGGAGATTATTTTTTGATATATTAGCTCTAGACTGTTCAAGATACAAATCGCGTAATCCTACTTTTCATGTAAAACTGTTTATGAATCCCCAAAATATCGATCCATACTGGACAACCATGAGTAGACAACTCAAGTACAATTACTATTAGTTTTTTTCACTTATGTAGCAACTAGTTTTGGATACAACATAGGTATTTCTATTATGGAAAAACTGTATTGTGAAATAAAGTAATAGAGCGACAAGTATTCCATTACAGAGGTCTTTTTCTTAACTTGATACCAAATATGAATTCCTGTACTCGACTTCGAGTCACACTTTAATTGTGAAGGCTAACCATATAATTCGATTGTCCAAACCGAAGTAGGTAGGGGGATTCGGATCTGAAACTTAGTAGTTAAAAGTCTAATGTTTTAATCAATGAATCATCTCTCCAGTGTCTTCAACACAGTGTTCAAGTTAGAATTGGAGTTTCAAGCTGTTATGAAAAAGCAAATACATATCTCAGTAATTTAATCATACACTTTAGTTAAAACAGTTTAATATATTGATATTATAAATTGTATACATCCGTTAAGTCATTGAGTAATTTATGACAAGTATTTTACCAGTTTAATATATTCACATATAACTACTGGCCAGATAAGTAAATCATATATGATTTAGTATATTTAGATAAATTCTGATTTGTTCTGGTGCATAAAAGATCTTGATCAACAGTCTTGCCTTCTTCCTTGAATCAAGTTATATCAGTCTTGTTTAGTTATAACAGATAACAAGCGCCAGTTTGTCCGCAGTTATAACAAGTGGCCACATCAGTCTCGCGCAGTTACAACACAAACGACGAATACATAGTAGTTTATAAGGTTGCAACTTTAAACCATATACCCAAAGTTCAATACAATATAAATGCTTTAAAAATGTAACGCATATTTCATGAATAAAAAAAACTTTTACTTACAACAGCATTAATACGAAATTGTTTATGCAAGAATCCATCAGTATCGTATCGATTCCCCTCAAAAACCAATGATGATCCATCACGTTGTACACGATCAGATAATTTTGATGCATTGAATAGTGCTGGTGCTGGGCGCTTGAAACGTTTAAACTTGTTGTTATCATCTTCTGTTTCTGTGCCACGATTACGTTTTCTTTCATAATCAATTCGAGGAACTAACTTAAGACCAACTAAATTTTGTGCATCCTCTACATATTCAACCTAGAAATAGATCAAAATTTTGATTCCATAATCAACTCAAGGTACAAGCAACCTAAAATAATGATTTGAAAAATACGACAAAAAACCCTCAAAACATCAGAATGAAACGGAACATCGTTTACCCATTAATAATCAGTGATCGTTTAAATATCCTTTAACTGTTTGCATACTGTGATTAGAAGCGGTTATCTCTGAAGTTCTTATTACACTTAACTGAACATTTTCATGATCCATATTATTATAAAGCTAATGGTGGTTAAAATTAATGGGTTAATCGCTCACTGCGCAGGACTTAGTTCCTAGCTTGGACCCCTGGCAAGACCAGAGATGAATACTAGTTTTATTTATTTGAACACATAGATATTGGTACAAAGAGGCACCATATACATATGCGCTACACAAATCTCATTTGATTTGTATGAGGGCTGTGATACTGCTCGGGTGCCCAAACCGAAGCAGGTGGTTTTCTCAGGGGACCACACCCGGAGCCTTCGGCCTAAAGGTCTGATCCACAAGGCAGTGGAGTAACGTGAGGAGGTACAATCCCATGGTAGCCGGTGAAAAACGATTGGTTCATACGCCATTTGTTCCTTCAGGATACTGGAGCCCATGTGCACCATTGATTTTGAATCAGGGTTTTCCAACTCCTCTAGGTGGACTCTCCATGTTCACCAACCCGGTTAAAGCGCCGGACATTCGCTACTCGTTCTCTCAATTTCATAAACAACACCCCCGTCACGAGAAGGGAGTGAGTGGGACTTCCCTGGCAGAGGCTATATACGCGTGGCCAGGTGAGAAAATTTTCAGAGGGAGAGCGGACTCTCCCCACTCTCAGCCGTACCAGAACATTTGGAGGCTTGAATGCTAGCAAGGAGTCCCTTACTAGGATGAAACTATCCAGTGCTTCCTGGTTCTTAATGGTTGTCTACCTAGAGTCAACCCGAAGGTAATCTACAAAACTCGACAATCACAAAAGCTCGCATACTAATTGTAAAGGTTGCTTTTCATTTAACTTTAAATAACTGTACTTATTTTGTCTACATATTTTTCGTAATATTTGTGTGAGACAAGAGGAACTTGTTTAAATATTTTATCCAGAGAATTCCCTTTTGTTCCAAACATATAGTACTGAATAAAGAGATTAGTACCGTTATTAATATTCACCAAACTACAGGTTGATTGTGGTACTACTTCCCTTGAACCCAGAACGTCATTAAAAATAACAACGAAAGCTCCTCAACTCAAACGTAAAATAAATAATTGGAAAGAAATAAATCTTAAAAATATACCAAATGATAATAAGATACACTGGATAATAGCGCAAACTCAATTCCACAGCTGAATGTCAAACCTTTTGTGCTTACCAATGCTAAATCATCACGATAGAGTCCAGATTTAATCCGAACCCACTGGTCAGGTTTAAGTTGACCAGTTTCTTTCACCACACGTACAACTTCTGTCATTTCTTCAATTGGAACAAGTTGTTGCTTGTACATAGAAAGTCGTAAAGCTGTTATACCGTCTATGGCTTGTTTAACATGAGTTTGCTTGAAAGCCTCAACGTAAATATAACCCTTCAAACCTTCCTTAGCAAAGGCTGACTTAATTTGTAGTGGAGTGTCAGAAAATTGATAGGCTATAAATTTACGCATCAGTGCAAGTACAGTAGCCTTTTCTTCACCCATTTTACATCGAAGTGCCCAGAGGTTAGGATCTTTGATACCTGGAAGACGTTCCTTTTGAACAATACTATCAGCCATAGCCTCACCATCACCAAAACGATCGACATAATTTTGGTTCTCATAACGCTCTTGATAATATCTTTCTATTTCCTCTTCATCTTGGTCCATGATCTCACGTATTCTCCGACGAGAATCTAATTCGCGAGCTGCAGGTACAGCGTTCAGGGCTTCTTCATCTTCCGGATCAATCAGTTCCCCATCGTCGTCATATTCTTCATCTTCTTCTTCATCGTCTTCGTCAACCGAAGCTTCATCATGAAACATATCCTATACAACAGTGAAACGTATTAATTAGCAATACAGAAAACTTGTAAACAAATATATATATATATATATATATATATATATATATATATATATATAATCTTCAATAGGATATAATAAAAGGTATTTTCATTTAGGTTTTACTGCTTATGAATATGGATTTACAAAGCAAATTGTATGAGATAAGTTTCCAGAATGATCATAGAATCTAGGATCAGATATTCACTAGATGTTTTGGTAACGAGTTAATAAGACCCCTAAAGTGTAAGAAGAAATAAAATCTCACGATGTTGGCAGATAAAGAGTGTGTACTCTTCGCATGTCCAGTTAACTATCTTCGAATTTTTTGTTTGCTTCTATTTTCTATCAACTACTCAACATTCCTATCTAGTTCGGTCTATGCGGGTAACGATAAGTTTCCAACAACAAATTAGATTCTTCAACATTCTTAAAATTCAGTTAGTTAGTCAGTCAGCATTAAAGTAGTACTTTGTACGTACGTACATCAGTTCAGGTTGCCACACACACAATTGTTGATTCAAATCCCATGGTGGTAGAGGTAGTAAAAGTATAAGCAGTGATCGGAAAGATTAGAGTTTGAAGATGGTATTCAATGAGTATAATCCAGTGAAATAAATTTGGAAAGAGATCAAATAAAGGGACATGAAGAATTCAGAGGATTAGAATTTGGGAGAACACAAAGAGTGGATGCACCTTCTGCTCCATTACAAACGATTTTGATCCATGTCATTCAAAGTCTCTAAACAACGGCTGCTATCGACTCGCAGATCCCAACTAGGTAGTTCACACCTACCAACATGGCTCAGTCTACTTGTCATTGACTTCATGGATTTGTTCCATTTTTTGGTCTGGCCGCCTCTGGCTTTCTTCCGACCTACTACCACACTATAAAACATTGCTCGTCGAGGCATTCGATGATTGACGATACGTAACACGTGTCCCAGCCATCTCAACTGAAGTTTCACTACTTCATCAATTGACTTGCCATCCTTATCTAGTACCCGTTTCCTAACAACTGCATTACTTACTCGGTGGTCCCAGGGTATACGAGCTATGCTTCGAAGACGCGTATGATGGAATACTAGTAATGTAAGGATATATCTTCAGTAATTATCGACATTTTATTTTATTTGTTAGAACACCGTCATACTTTTCAAAGGCCAACAATCGTAGTGTTTCTTGACATCAGGGCTGCCTTCGATTCGTTGGATAGGACTGTTCTCTGGGATTGTCTATTGAATAAGGGTGTGCCTGAGAAGTTTATTAACATCCTGAAAGACCTATATACAAACACCTCAGGCAGAGTGAGAGCATACAACCACCTTTCTTCATTGTTCTATTCGAGCAGTGGGGTTAGGCAGGGTTGCCCAATCTCACCATTCCTCTTCAACTTTGTCATCGATGACATTCTGCAAACAGCTCTGACGGATGTAAGTAATAGCGGTGAGGATCTGTTGCCTGGAGAAAGAATTCTCGACCTTAAGTATGCGGATGATATTGTCTTACTGTGCGATAATGCCCAAGCAATGCAATCCGCACTTAATCAGGCAGGATTCTAATCCTGTACTCACACCCTGGGTAGTGAGCAGATAGAAGTAGTCGAGAAGTCCGTGTATCTAGGTGGCTACATAAGTGCTGGTGGTGGCGTGAGTGATGAGATCAATTTATGTATAGTGAAAGCCAGAGCGGCCTATGCCAATCTGGGCCATCTTTGACACCTCCGTGATGTTAGTCTGACTGTAAAAGGTCAGATCTACAACGCGTCGGTGAGAGCACTTTCGCTCTGTACTTGTGCAGCCTGGTCACTCCGAGTTGAGAATGTTAGACGACTCTCTGAGTTTGATCATCGTTGTCTCCGAAGGATTGCTGACATCTAGTGCCAACACCATGTTAGTAATGCGGAGGTTTGGCATCGTGTGTTCGGACGCAGAGACGATAGTCCAATTGGTGTCACCATCTTGAAACACCGACTTCGGTGGCTTGGACATGTTCTATGAATGTCGTCCTAGAGAATTCCATGTCATGCATTATTTGCGGACGCTGGGACTGGTTGGGAAAAGCGGAGAGGTGGTCAGTGTATGACATGATGTCGTGGTATGAAAGGAAGCTGTACCGGACTGGCTTCTGTTGATCTTTCGCCTCTCCTTGGTTAGGGTCATAGAGATGGTGCCACACACTGGCTAGAGACGTTATCAGATATGGCTCAGAATAAAAGTCAGCGGTGATCCTGCTGTAACGTTCTTTTATTTTCTTCATAAAAAGTGGTTGCAACTTTCTTAAATGAAAGAATTCTTTCTGACTGTACCTTTTCGTTTACCTCATTATTAATATTATTATTATTACAATACCTTACACTAATCTACTTGGGCATTAAAGTCACCTGCTATGAGTACTATGTCTAAGTGTGTAACTTTTTGAAAAAAATTAGTCTCTCACAATTTGGTTTAGGTCTCAAAATTGTCATTTGTTGTTGAGCAGGATTTATGTAGTTTACGCAGTAGCGATGATACATATCTAATTTTTAATGAATGATACTATAGTTGTTTTTGTCATTATAAGTCAGAGAACTTCCAAAATTATCGCTATCAATAACGCTCATGCCACCAATCTTAATACTTACAGTCTTTTTTATATATATCACAGGAAATGAGTAATTGAATCAATTTTCGCTTTTCTATTTCTTTAGTCATCTAGGCCAATTTGAGTTACACCTGTTCATAAGTTCGTCAGCCAAGTAACTGTTTGCATCAAACCCTGAACATAAACCATTCTTAGTTGACTACTCCAACAACACACACTAGAGCAATATCACAATTACAGTTGATTACATTAATAATAGCTTAAGAAAACGTGTTTTCTCACAACTTCATTTCAATTGAAATATAACATGGACAGAATAACACAGACATTACAAATATCATACATATTATCATAGATTGAATAAAGAAAACCAATTGTTTGCATACAATTTACATATATTTTGTTTATCTAAATCTCATGAAAAATAAGAGGGAGAAAGAGAGATAGAAATACAGAATCAAATCATGTACACTTTGTGTAGTATATTGGTCGGCAGCCTATGCTCCATTGGGAGTAACAGGCGTAAGTAAGTAAGTAAGTCGTTTAGTCAATTAGTAATGCCCAAAAATCTCTATTACGTAACCACCAGTCAAGTCACAAGAAAATTTTAGGAAAATAATTTTGAAAATATAAAAATTCAAATGAAAAAATAATAAATAGAATGATCAAAAAGAAATTTCAATCACAAATAGACAAAATGTACAAAAATAATGCAGTCCAAGAAGAAGAGCAACCGGACATCGGTTAACAACGTTGATCGCTTCGTTGACTTTAGTTAAGTAAATGTAGCATTTAACAAAAAAGGCGATAAAAAAAAAGAAAACTAATGAATCAGCTACATTATCTTTTTGCATACAGTGAATTTATACAATAAGTGAGTGTTCGGGTAGCACAACAAAATGACTGTTTAACAATGTTAACAATACACAATAATCCTATGCTTCACCTTTCATCTTCAACTGGATGGTACAATACGGAAGAGTTTTTGTAATCCAATCGTGATGTTTACTGGAAAAATAAACAAAAGATTGAATGAAAACAAACAAAGAAGAGGATGGAGAATATCAACAAAATATACAACTAATTCGATGATGTTGAATCGAGCTATTCGTAAGGAAGTTTGTTTAGTTCAATCATCATCATCAAATCATTTGAACAACTTTGAAATGATTTTATCTCATATGACAATTTTTATCAGGTCAATTACACATTAACTTGTTAAGATCAATGGAAGTTATATGAAGATTTTGTTGAGACGGCTTCCGAGAACTGCGACAGAGCCTCCAGATGTCCGAAAGGAGTCGAAGAGTTCCATCCAATCAGAATGCAATGGAGCCTTCTAGAACATCGACGTGGCGTGACACTATTGGTCAGTAGCATAACATACCTCTTTACGTACTGGTTGATTTAACAAATGCTAACATTTATAAATACCCTTGATTTTTTGTATATCTTGATTCTTGCCCAACAAACACTTTCTGCAGACTTCTTCTGTCTTCTTATTTACAACTTGGAAGGTTCTAGCATTTCAGTGCTCAAGCTGTATGCGGTATATTAAGAATCTGAGCACTAGATATAACAGATTCAATTTCTTTTCATTTGTAATGCATTAAAAACAATCGATATTTACATTAAAAACTATTCCTGTACCTTGTTATAAACTATTCTAACTTCAACTAATTCACGAAATATAGCGACATATCCACCGCTGACTTTAGTGAGTCACTCCCTCACAACATACCTAGTTGAACTCCAATGGTCACTGATTCTCACTATAACTCCAGGAAATACCTCTTGAAGCCAGTCACCAGTGAGCATATGTTGAATAATATCAGAAGGGGCTTTGTGTTGATATTATAGTAGTTTTAAGAGTTAAGACCATGAGTCAATTGGAGATAGACCACCATGGAAAACCTAGAAACACTAGACGGCCGTTTAGTCCTATTGCTGGACTCCTCAGCAGTGCATATCTACGATCCCGCTTCGCGAGATTCGAACTCAGGATCTATTGGTCTCATGATTTCAACTACTAAAATTAGTACGATGTCCACAAAAATACCCATCTGACATATTATTTTACTATTGGATTATTGTATTGAAACTTATTGTCCTAACTACCACTGTTATGATAAATTTTATTATTACCAATTGATTGACCGATGGATGACCTAATAAGAAACATCATGTGTCATTCTTTTTTAAAGCATGAATATTATCATTTGACTTGAGAATAAAACTTTTCTAGTTTAATAACATTTGAAAAACATTTTCACAGTAAAGAAAATGGAAGTCCAGTAACTACTGGCTAGAGCTTATTAAGGCATGTGTATTAGTAGTTGACACATAAAATGTTTGTATATATACCTGAAATAGCAACAATTATTAGAAATCAATACTTA